CAGAGATGGACACTGCTTGCTCTATTTGATATGTGTCGGGGGAGGGTTGTTACCATGGTGTTGACACAGATTGACTGGGGGAACTGAGTCCTTTCCTGAAGTCTGGTTTTGGTCTGATGGACTATGGTTGGGAACTAGATGCTGTACTTAGCATCCTAGATGGAATGGTCAGATGCAAAGAACTTTCATCCTTGGCTGTTCCCTCTTTATTTAGAGGAGCTCAAATGTCCTTGCATCGGTTGTAGATAAAAGTTTACATTTGCTTAACTGTTGTCTTAAAAATAGATTAATTGCTTAGCTTTAAAGAGTTCCATCAGCAAGAATGACATGGAAGGGAATTTCAGGTCCCTAGGAAAAGAAGTCAAGGAGTTACTTGGAATAACACCAACTGCCAATCAACAAAATGTGATTAGGCCATCTAGTGAGCTAGGCTGGTGGGAATCCAGCATATTCCTTTTCTCTGAGTCGGGGACTCTTGGATAATAGAAACTGGCTACAGTCTCCAAAGGCGACAAGCACTCTGCTTCTCTTTGCTGTGGATGCTCTTTACCTTGACAGCTGGATGAGCATCCGCTTGCCCATTTCTGTTCCTTACATCTTTAACTCTTCTTTTATATCAGTGACCGACTAACTTGCACCTGCTTGGCTTTTTATCATCATCCGTCACTATCATTCAGCTCTGTAACCTGTATGTGATACTGGTGTCTTGTTTTAATTTTTTTTTTAAAAAAAGGCAGTATATAAAAATAATACAGATATTCTTGACATAATACTAAGAACAATTTTGGATGGTTTAATGGATGTTTCTATGTGATCCTTGACTATAGTTGATCTGAATCCATCATAATCAACCTATACTTGTACTAGTATTCGGTAGATTGGGCAAGAATATTTAAAAAAAAGTCTGAAAAGAAACAAGACTTGTATTTGATTTTCTGTGATCTTAGATTATCCCCTTGCTCAAGTTCTATGGAAGTATGCTAGAGTAGTGTGTAAGGAAGATGAAGTAAAACTAGTCAAATGATGAAGAAAAAGACTCTGGGCAGAGGGAGACAATAGGGCACAAAAGGAACTGCCTTGTATATAACACCGATTCCTATCCCAATGAGTATTTGCATTTGGTATTAATTTAATGGAGACAGAAACTGAAGTCCAGAGAGTTCCTTCCAGCTGCATCACTGCCAATAAGTTACATCAGTGTTTTGTAGCCACTGATTTCACAAATTATTGTGCTGTCTCCTTTTGGAAATCACTGTGATGTTTTCAGGTCACCTCAGAAGCCCCTCACTGTCCCGCCTCTCTTTTTGTCGATAGGGATCATGATGATGGATTTGTACAGATCCACCTGCCTTTCCACACCCTTTAGCCTTCTGGCTAAGAACAGTGTCAGATATGGGCTACAGTAGGGATGGAGGGCAGAGCTTTAGTTGGCGGACTTGAGATTGCCCTGACAGTGTACACAGGAAGTGGTTGCCAGGCAATTGCTAAAGGCTAGGGCGTACAGGGCAGCTGTCTCTAGGAACATGCCAGCTCTTGTGCTGTCGTTGATGCTTGTCTGCTTCAGTGTCTAATCCATAAGAGAAAAAATCCAGGCTGCTTGGCCTTCCAGGAGACTGATGCTAACGCAGTCCTTCTTGCTCCAAAGGGGGTTCTGAAGGGTTAGTTCACATAGAAATACAACTATTATCAAATATTACTTTACCTACAATCAAGGCGAAACTATTAATCTCTGAACCAGACCAGGGTTTAATCTTCATTCAAGAGTTCACTATGTGTGACTTTCACCAAGTGTGCCTGCCCATGCCTCAGTTATCCCACTTTGAATATATAGTTATATTTTCCATATGGAGTTAACCTGTTTAAGCTTCATTTATCCCATTTTAACATAGAGTTATTGTTAGGGTACCAAAAAGTTCCAGAAGGGTGCTAGTTGCCTACATTGCCATGGAAGCCTTAACACACTAGGCGGGCATAACAAGAAGTGGTTCTTGATATTGTAAATAACTGAAACCCATAAAAAACTTAACATGATTTCTACAGCAGTGTTTATATGTGGAATGACTTAGTCTCAGGAAGTTGATTATGAGTTTACTATCATGCTTTTAAAAAATATAAGGCTCAGTAGGAAAAAATGGCTGGTCTGTTACATAGAAAGCAATCTGTAATAGTTCAGAGATAAGCCAGTGTTGTCTTCTCAGCAAGCAGGAAAGACTGCATCCTGGAGCTCAGAGATCAGGTTTTTAAAGGGTCTGCAGCAGAACCTAGTCATTGGCTACAGAGAAATAAGTGAGAGAAAGAACAATAAGGAATTTTCAGGTAGGTGAAAATATCTTCGTTGCTTTGTAGAAGTTAGTACTGACTGAAGCATCGAAAGTGGAGTATTAGATTTGACAGAAATTTGGACAGAGTTGTTCATGTATCAGACACAGAGACAGATAACAGTCTTGACTCTTCCAGTTAATCTTTCTTATATTTTTAGGCTCTCAAGATGCTTTGCATAGAACATCTCAGCACTACAAAGGCTCTCTTCTTTCTGAATGTTAGCTGTCTGATCTTTAATTTGTCTACCTGCCAGCCTTTGAGCTCCTCTAAAACTCAAATCTTATTATAGTCTCGAATCCACAGCCACTCCCACAGTCAATTCAACACTGACCCAGTTGAGAGAGCTATCCGAAAAAAAAAAAAAAATGACACCACATTGCAACCAGCTGCCTCTTCAAGAGGATCTGTTTCCATTCCTATCAAGGCCAAGGCCTCCATACCCCAGAGTCTTACCTTCCTCATTCACTACTTACAGCACAGTAGTGTCTCGGTGCAGCTAGACACACTGAGCCAAGTATTATTAGGCCCTTCAACATTTTTGGTTGGCTGGCATCCTCTTCCTGTAGGTATCTACGAGACTTGTCCCCTCCGTTCCCTTTGGACTTTCCTCAGCTGTTACCTCACCTTTGATGGACTCAATAAAATCAGGCATACCTCTTGTGCATACACATCAACATATAAACAGTCTGTCCTCAAACTGATTCTTTTCTGTTCCACTATGAGGCATTTTAATAGCCTCATATTTTTATTTATCTGTTACCTCTGAGCTAGAAAATAAATTAATGAAGACAGAGATCTGTGCTTTAGTCACTGGTGAATCCTCAGGACAGAAGAGAAGAAGTGATTGTGAAATTCATATTAAACACACAAGTGTGTGTGGCCTAAGTGGACCCATAAGTTGGAATTAAACCTTTCACTCCTCTAGTTAGCTGGCTCATTGTAGGCAAAAACTCCCAATCCACACAAGTTCTGCAATGACTAAGCAGGTGGAAAGACCGACTGGGAACTTTTGCATGCTTTGAATATACAGATTTCTATTTATCATCCTTTTATTTAAATTAGATGTCTGAAAACCTGTTTTTATTTTTACTGTGTGAAAAATGCAAAAAAAAAAAAAGAGTCATCTCTCATCAGTTATAAGCTAGAAGGGATCTTGGCTACAGTAGGATCCCAAAGGTCTGCTGCTATGTGGTGGGTGATGGATTCTGCCAGGCCGTGCTGTGGTTTTATCTACCAGCCATCCATAACAGACATGGGTCGGAAAACCTAGGACAAAGAGCCAGATTGGCAAAATGAGGACATCTGACTTTGGTTTAACTTTCTACAGATAACACAGAGTTCTGCTTAGGACCTCTTTTCCATCCATGCTTTATGGATGCAATAAATGGTCCTTCCCTGAGGCATTCCAAATGAATATTATAGACCTTCTCTTGCACTGACCCCAAATCCCAGGCTTTGGAGGCAGAGGTGATATGAGGTTTCAGCTGAGTTTTGCATGAGCTAGTGGGTGAATTTAGGACCTTGGTAGCCCAGTCAACAATTTCACTTTTACCATTCTTTGTGTTGCTCAATGTCTTTGTTGGCATGTCCTTAACTGCCAAAAGCTCTTCATTATATGTACACTTGGTAGTCACAGTTTTTATGCTACGTGAGCTAATTTAGAGGGAATCATTACTCCTGCATGTTCTGGTCACCTGAGCTCGCTATAGAACTACAAATGCCTGTCTTGGAACAATCTGGAAAGTATGTATTGACACTGAGAAAGAAGGTTTTATGGCTGCTTCCACGGCCCTCCTGGCTCCTCCACACAGCTCAGCCCAGGCCCGGTTATCTCTTGTTTTTGCTGCACGATGTCTGCAGCTTCCAAAGCAGGCTGTGCATCCAGATGTGGAAAGCTGTGCTTGAAGAGCCATGTGATCAGCTGAGCACCTATCAGGAGCCCAGACTTGCCGAAATTGGGGCGGAGAGGGTGCTCTAAGAAAACATGCTTTAAAAAACTGTACTTAAAATACAGAAATACTGCATTTTCCGTAAGATACTTTTCCCTCACAAGAACAAATGCTCCTGAGTTTTGATTGCCAGCAAGTTTGACAATTTCTGTTTCCAAGGAAGCTTGGAGCAGTGGGATGTGATTTTATGAAAGAAAGTAAAGGTGTACTCCAGGATATAAGATAATCAATGTGGCTTGTATTCAGAGGATCTTCTCAGAATCCGAGTTTCAAGATGTGCATCCTAATAAGATGGTTTTCTCAATGAAATAGTTTCCAAAGATAATGTTCTAACTCAAATGTAAAAGAAAATCCACTTGAGCAATAAGGAAGAAATTACTTAATGCTTCAAAAGTTTCGCTTTCTGTTTACTGTTGGTTGTTAGTGTGCACCAGTGTGTGCTCAATAGAGCTGCACTGTAACGGGACTCGTCATTTCCAGGGAGTCATTGTGTGTCTTGCTCGGTGAATGGGACTCCACGTAGAAAATCCATCGAGAAATTGAACTGTAAATTTTACAGATGATTGTTTAGCCACTGGTAGAATCTTAGAATAATGATTCCCTGGAGATTTTGTGATGGCTAAACATAAAGTAATATGAACAAATTATTAATTATGATTTGGTACTAATTATGTGATTTTTTTCTTCCCCTTCCTTTTCTCCCCTCCTCCCCCTTTTTTTTACTATTAGGTTGGGACATTTGGAAGTCTCATTGTACAACATGCTGCGATTAAGTCTCTCACCGACTGTTTCAATGGGATTTCGTCTGGTAGCTATAGTGGCTCTCTTGTTTTCCCATGTTGACCATATAACTGCGGAAGCAGAGTCAGAAGCAGGAGGAAATGAAACCACTGAATGTACTGGCTCATATTACTGCAAGAAAGGGGTGATTCTTCCCATTTGGGAACCCCAAGACCCATCTTTTGGGGATAAAATTGCTAGAGCAACTGTATATTTTGTGGCCATGGTCTACATGTTTCTCGGAGTTTCCATCATTGCTGACCGGTTCATGTCCTCCATAGAAGTCATCACATCTCAAGAAAAAGAAATAACCATAAAGAAGCCCAATGGGGAGACCACCAAGACTACAGTAAGGATCTGGAATGAGACGGTGTCAAACCTGACCTTGATGGCTCTGGGCTCATCTGCTCCCGAGATTCTCCTTTCTGTCATTGAAGTATGTGGCCATAACTTCACTGCAGGGGACCTTGGTCCCAGCACCATCGTGGGAAGCGCTGCCTTTAACATGTTCATCATCATTGCGATTTGTGTTTATGTGGTCCCTGATGGAGAGACAAGGAAGATTAAGCATTTGCGTGTGTTCTTTGTGACAGCAGCCTGGAGCATCTTCGCCTATACCTGGCTTTATATAATTCTGTCTGTCATCTCTCCTGGTGTTGTGGAGGTCTGGGAAGGATTGCTCACTTTCTTCTTTTTTCCCATCTGTGTCGTGTTCGCTTGGGTAGCAGACAGGCGGCTTCTCTTTTACAAGTATGTCTACAAGCGGTATAGGGCTGGCAAGCAGAGGGGGATGATTATTGAACATGAAGGAGACAGGCCAGCCTCCAAAAGTGAAATTGAAATGGATGGGAAAGTGATCAACTCTCATGTTGACAATTTCTTAGATGGTGCTCTGGTTTTGGAAGTCGATGAGAGGGACCAAGATGATGAGGAAGCAAGGCGTGAGATGGCAAGGATTCTGAAGGAACTTAAGCAGAAGCATCCGGATAAAGAAATTGAGCAATTAATAGAATTAGCCAACTATCAAGTCCTAAGTCAGCAGCAAAAAAGCCGAGCATTTTATCGGATTCAAGCTACTCGCCTGATGACTGGAGCTGGCAACATTTTGAAGAGGCATGCTGCTGACCAAGCAAGGAAGGCTGTCAGCATGCATGAAGTCAACATGGGAGCGACTGAAAATGACCCGGTCAGTAAGATCTTCTTCGAGCAAGGGACATACCAATGTCTAGAGAACTGTGGTACCGTGGCTCTTACCATTATCCGTAGAGGGGGCGACTTGACCAACACTGTGTATGTTGATTTCAGAACAGAAGATGGCACAGCCAATGCTGGGTCTGATTATGAATTCACTGAAGGGACTGTGATCTTTAAACCTGGGGAGAGCCAGAAGGAGATCAGAGTTGGCATCATTGATGATGATATCTTTGAAGAGGATGAAAACTTCCTTGTGCATCTAAGCAACGTCAGAGTCTCTTCTGAAGATTCAGAAGATGGCATACTAGAAGCCAATCATATTTCTACACTTGCTTGTCTTGGGTCTCCCTGCACTGCCACTGTGACCATTTTTGATGATGACCATGCAGGCATCTTTACGTTTGAGGAACCAGTGACTCACGTGAGCGAGAGCATTGGCATCATGGAGGTGAAGGTTTTGAGAACATCCGGAGCTCGAGGAAATGTTATTGTTCCCTATAAAACCATTGAAGGAACAGCCCGAGGTGGAGGGGAGGACTTTGAGGACACGTGTGGAGAACTCGAATTCGAGAACGATGAAATTGTGTAAGTTACGTGTGTGTGTGTGTGTGTGTTTGTGTGTGTGTGAATATTTTTATGCATGTGAGCATCCATGATTTTAGCAAATGGAATTCAAGGAACCATAGTTATATTCCTTTCAAAATAACAGATCTCTCATGGGTGTTTCTTTTCAATATGCACTATACACAAGATCTTAATTTCATTTTTTCACTTTTGCCTTTTACATATTTTTTATAAATTGTAGGGCATGATAAAATGAATTTGTAGCACAATTTAATAGATTACTTGAGATGAGTTGAACATTTTTATTCCATTATAAATTGCACAGAGTACTTATGTGTGGATACCTAACACATAAATATTGAAAACAACTGTTCAATAAACCACAAGACTTTCTAACTCCATTGCTGTGCACAAATCTGGAAAACCCTAAAATTGAAACACCTCTGAGACTATCTTGGCTACCAGGCATGACTGAATGTTTCTCTATTGTTCATTTGATATTGTGTATCATGAAAATATATAATAATGCATTTACTTGAAGGCTAATGTTGAATCATGACACATGATCAGTCCTGCTTCTTCAATTGGATGCCAATTTATTCATTTATTTACCAGTCTGGTTTTTTTTCTGTGATTATGCAACCCTTTTTACCCTAGTGATATAAAACAGAGTCAAAATAAGATTTCTACCAAGCATTCTCACAGATGAGGAGTGGGACAGAGACAAAGAAATGGCAAACGATTGACTTTTCTCTCTTCCTTATTAGTGCTTAACCCTGTCATGGTGCCTTGCTGTAATACTGAGTAGTTAATTATGAAATGATTGTTCTATGAAGAGCTGCTATTGAGAGAACAAGGTTTCCTGCCTAGTCTTGGAGGCAATTTTGTATTCAGCCACCCAGAAGGACAAAAGAGAGAACATGGTAGTATCTGCAGTACATCAAAGGACCTTATCATGAATAACAGTGTTGACTGAAGCACTGGTAATTTATGAAATTAAGGAAGGAAAAATATGTTCCTGTGATGAATTCTAAAACTGGTTAATTTCGGAGCTACCAACAGGTAACATATTTAAACAGCAACTGTATGTTCACCAAGAATGACATTCTTCCTGCAGAGTCTGCCAAAAAGAAAAAGCAAAAATATGGGGATGGGTAGAGGGAGTAGGTTTCCTTTGTAGGACTTTCTGGGGTCCGTAGATTTCCTTGATGTTGTACAATAGAAATGAGTGGTCCTTGAATTCAATTAAATATTGACATTAAAGAAATGAGGGATTATGCTTATCATCCTGTAGTGTATAGAGGTGGGCGGTGTTTGTGTTAGTATCTGTTCTATGTTGTTAAGATTCTACCTACTGAGATGTATTTTATCGGTAAATGAATTTTATGGAGATAGAATTTAGTAGCAATATATATTACACACTAAAGAACAATCTTCTTCCAGGGACTTGCTTTGACTATGATCATGCCCAGATTAGTTCACGTCTGTTTTATTTTTCTATTTCCTGTTTTCCCGCACTAAGTTTTCTAATAACTTTAGTCATAGACAACTCTTGTAATCCCTGTAAAATTTTAATGAACTCTGAAGGTAGTCCTTAACCAGGTCAAAGCTGACAAGGGTTTTGTTTGCTTGCTTGGCACAGGATGGTTTCTCATAAGGAGAAAGCAACGTTCTCCATACTTTCTAGAGTTAATCTTGTTCTTTCTACTCTGTTACTAAGGTTTTTTTCTTTTTTTTTTTCTTTTTTATCCATGTCATAGATAAGCAATCTTCGGTTTGGTGGCATAAGCAGATGAAGGTCTCAAAAAAGTTCTGACTGGCAGGGATTAGATGGAATAACATTCTGCCAAGCTTTATTGAAAACAGTCATTCAATGCAATTAAATTAATTTTATTCTTGCTAAGGGAGGACTATGGTCAAACTCCATCTTTACAAATTGATGTTTTCTTTGACATTTTGTAAGACTTGGTGGAACTGGTGAACCTTCATAAGAATTGGTACTTTTATTTCTTTGTGGATGTGTCTGCAAGCATATGCATGTATGTATGTGGAGGACAGAGGCCAACCGTGCTGTCATTCTTCAGCAGTATTCTATCGGGTTTTCTGAGACAGTCTCTCACTTATCTGTGACTTACTGGTTAAGGTATACTTAGACCAGCTGGCTGGACAGCAAGCGTGTGCCCAAGCATCCACCTGTCTCCACTTCCCCGGGGCTCTGATCACAGAGTTCTGAGAATCAAATGTAGGTCCTCAGGCCTGAGTGACTCCTCTCTCTCTCTCTCTCTCTCTCTCTCTCTCTCTCTCTCCNCTCTCTCTCTCTCTCTCTCTCTCTCTCTCTCTCTCTCTCTCTCTCTCCTTGAGTTTCTAGATCAACCACCAGTGTATAAAATTATTATTGTATTATATTCTCGACAGTGAAATGAGAGATATTAGAAATGGAAAAGCATTTTTTATAAGTAGAATGAAATTATGGCCCTCCATTCCCAGCATTTTAATCTTAAAAAGGTTTAAGCTTGACTTTGTAGAATTTCATTGCTACCATGTATTTGAAGGTGCCGTGTAGGCTTGTTGCCTCTGAATATTTCTTTGTGTTACTAAGATTTATTCTTGAGCTAAGCACCAAGAACTTAAACACAATATAGAAAAAAAATATTTAATATATGTAGCTGTGCTGACTTTCCGCAGTTTAGAAATACTAGTATTTTCTTGTCTTCTTTTTATAATGAATCTCTATGTTCTCCAAAGCTAGGTCCACACATTAGATCCAGAGTAAAGGGGTTGGGGATTTAGCTCAGTCGTAGAGCGCTTGCCTAGCAAGCGCAAGGCCCTGGGTTCGGTCCTCAGCTTCAGAAAAAAAAAAAAAAAAAGACAGAGTAAAGAGATGTTCCCATCATGTAATGGAGTTGGATGTGTGCACTCAGCCTAGGTTGTTGTTAAGAGAACGTTTCTAGTTTACCCAATTACATAGCTAGTTTTGAGAGAGATGGCTTTCTTTGAACCTTATAGTACACAGACAGAGCTGTTGACACAAGGAAGTTTCATTGAATACTTTGAATAATGTTTTTGTTTGTTTAACGCTGCACACAAAGCCTGAATTTATTATTCTTTTCAAGGCACGATAAAGAAATTCATAGCTAAGCTTAGATGTAAAGGTTATCTAATTTCAAGGGTCCATTAACCATGGTTGAAATCGGGTCCAATCTGATCAGCAGCAGAGACAGAGGCTGTATACTTTTATTGATTGTTTGATTTCTAGAACTAAAGAGATCTTAATCATCATCCGTTTCTTTGGCACATTGCTTTTCTGTGAATAAAGGCCTTAAATGTATCTACAGAGTGTAGTAATATCAGCAGTGGTGTTTTAATGATGTCGAACCACATCTACATAAATGTAGAACAGATCTGAGAACAAAATTAAGGCTGATAATAAGTTGTTATCTTAGCATTCAGTGTTTTTTATTATTAGAAATGCATCAACTTGGTGTGTGTGTGCATATGTGTATCTGTGTGTGGGTGGCTGAGTGTGGGTGCACATGCCAGTATGAACATATGCTTGTGGAGGCCAGATGTTAATGTTAGTCTTCCTCGGCCTTTCTTCGCTCTAGTTTTTTGAGACAGATTCTCACTGAACCTGGAACTCACCAACCGGCCAGTCTGATGTAATGTGAGTTTCAAGGATTTTCCAGGCTGTGCACTGCCAGCCTATATATATATATATTGTGTGTGTGTGTGTATGCTAGGAATTCAATCTTAAGTTTTTATGCTGGTGTGGCAGACATTTTGCCAGCTGAGCCCTCTTCTCACCTCTAAGTATCAGCATTTTTATTTGTAGTCAAGGCCTCCTAATTCTGTCTTGTTTTGAAGTGTTTAAGATATTTAAATATTTAACAGAAAAATGTCTGCACCTATTAATTCATATTCTAATATAAATGACTTGAATTATTTCATATTGACCTTTTCTAAGATCATATGTATAGTTGTGTTTAAGTGCTGATAAGTAATAATTGTTGTTATAATATCTAATAAAATGTATTATCAAGAAAACTCTTAAAACTAAAGTGTAAAACTCCATTCAAGGGATATAATTAAAAGCACATGCTTTTGTACAAGATCAGTGACAAAATGCAAGCCCATACCAAACAGTCTTAACTTTCAGTAGGGAATTCTGTCTAATGTTAATAGCTAATGAAAAAAGTAAATTAAGAACTCACTGATGTGATTTGTGGTTGGTAGATGATACCCACACATGTGAAGCTCGACTGATGGTTATTCTCTAATGATGCTAGTGTAGTGGAAATAATTACAACAAAATACAATCTGGTCTTTCAAGATCTATTATTAGCTTAACTGTTCTGGGAAATGTTAAGGTTAATTAATTAATGTAGATGCAAATCAAATTTAATTACTTAGTGGTGGCCCAATAATATTACCATTTGGGAAGATAATTTGAGGGATTATGATTGTTTATTGTTATATATATATATGTATGTATATAATGCTGAGCTGAGAAAACACAAAAGAAGTAGGAATATTTGCATAGCATATAGCTTGGCAAGTTATTTTACAGACACTTCTGTACTGTAATATAGTGCAATAAATGATGAGTTTATCCAATTTAATTTGGACAATTATTAAATTTTTAGGTATTGTGTATAGATTTATTAATTCTAAGAAATATTCAAGCCATTTTAACAAGTACAGAACTCCAACATCAGTCTTTACATAATTTTTGAACAAGGATTAGAAAATAAGGAAACATTAATATTGTATAAGTTGCATATTATCATTACTGTTAGTATTTCTTCTACTTCTACTACTCTTGCATGTCAGGCGAGATAAATACTTTACTTTTAGCCATTTACATTGCCAGAATTCATATCGTGCTGTGTGAGATTCCATAGGATAGAAATCTAGATACATGCTGAATCAGTTATGGGACCAAAAACAAGAAGTAATATGATAAGTTGTCTAAAGCAAAGGTGTCAAGAAAATCTGACATGATCCAAACAGACCAACGAGAG